AGAAAGAAGCTAGTAAGGAGCTAGCATATGGTACCAGTATATACTAGAAGAAATCAATTTAATAGCACTCCTCAAATAAACCTAGTTTAACACTATATATTAAGTTTTGTTGTCATGCCACAGCCCAAAAAGCGTAGAGAATTGTCAGTAGAGCAGAGAGTTTGCATAAATGCTTTACGTAATGCTGATTGGACTCTCCGACAAATTGCTACAGAGTTGAAATGCTCCCCAAACATTGTCAAGTACACCCTAGATCGTGAGACTGAGACAGGTAAATTTGAAAATAGGGAAGGAAGAGGCAGAACACCTAAACTCATTGATACTGATGTTAAGTATCTTCGTTTATGCAGCCTTTGTGACAGAATGACTGTCACGAATCTCAAGCATGAGATAAGCGACCATGTACCAAATGACAGAAAAGTGTCCAGAGCTACAGTATCACGAACACTCAACGAGAATGTAATAGTTGGTCGTGTAGCACTTTAAAAACCTTTACTTCGATCTCCAACTATTGTCAAGAGAATTTTCTAAAAAGTACAAAAACTGGACTGTTGATGATTGGAAAAGGAAATATTTGATTCAAAAGCGTAGGTTGTACGTCCGGCTGAAGAAAGGTGAAAGACTACCATGAATAATGGACCAGTGCAAGTACCATCAGATACTGATCCGTCATGATATGCCCTGTGGTTTGCGCATTATTGGTAGAGGATTCTACTACCAAGAAAATAATGACCCTAAACATTCTTCCAACCTAAGGAAGAAGCTGCTGGAGTCATTCAAATGGTGTAATGGCCCCCTCAGAGCTCCGATCTCAATCCATTTGAGCAGATCATGGGATTTGATAGATCAAAAACTTGACAAATCAAAAGTTACTTCCAAATAAACTTTATGGGAGTGTATTAGAGACATTTGGAGTAAAGTCCCAATGGACACTTTGATTAAATATGTTGCAATAATGCCTGAAAGACAGTTTGCAGTTATTAAAGCAAAAGGGGCACACAAACTATTAACTGTTTGCTGAACTCAAGCACTTCCACTGAGTTTCTGTTGTACTAATTATGATAAGTAATAAAATGTTGATGTTTTATCTGTGCTTTATCTTCCATAATTCTTTGAAAGTAGCCTGAAATCTAACTTTTGACTTTGTCCTAACACTTTTGCACAGTACTGTATATATACTAAACATTGGACCTAATGGATTACTACGCTACTAATTTTATTCATTCTGTCTGGTAACAAGTGGCAAGTCAAGTGATAGAATAGACTTTGCGCTTTGTGCTTTCAAAATGTGTAATTCTGTTGAATAAAAAATACATTATTTCATACAATAATATTTAATTTCCCTCACAAAAACCTACCTGTTTGTAATCTATTTCAGAATGTATCCTTAAATGTGTAAATTAAAGGCTTTAGCTACTTGTTGTTGTACCATGCAGTTTATATAGGCGAGAAACTAAGATACAGATATAAGATAGTTATTTCCTCGTAGGAAGACCAAAGACTGCCTGGAGGAGTTACCCTTTTTTAACCATTCGCACCACTATATAGTAGTGTGTTGTCTGTCAATGAGTCAGTAAACACTAAAATGACGTCACCTAAGGGAAGCTTAATATTGCAATTTGTACTGTAAAACGTGAGCATGCCATGAATCACGAGGAGAATTGTGCACTCCGTAGACTAAAACACAGCATGACATAGGAATTTCAAAAGCAATAAACAAAAATATTTGTTACTCTTGGAACAGAGCACTTTCGGGGACCCCTATGAAACTACATCTAATCATTATATAGCTAGACTTTTGAATATCAAATACTATTTTGTATTCATAGAGTCATTTATGAAATCTGGTTAGTCACATAATTTAACATTGAATCTTTATTTTGTACCCACACTTGAATCATTTTCCTGCAAAGGCGCGTTATTTCAGACCGTAAACCAGGTTTTGCTAAGAGACGAAAAGAAAAAGCAATACGTTTGACCATGTAGCGATATCAGTATGTCAAATGACACAACAAAATATTCTTTAAGTATTTGAATACTGTTTGTTTCCTGGAATATCTTGAAATAAAATAACATTTGAAATCAAAACCAACAGTACTGTCATAATGCCAATTTTAAATTTAAACGCTCTTTTTTTTTAATTATAAAGTAATTTAACTTTTAAATACCAGCTTAAAACAAAAAACAAGTTATGTTCTATTTTTTCAACTAAAACCATAAATTAAGAAAGGAGATCACACGAAACCATTTGTTTTAACAATAAATATATGATCTTGGTATAGGAGAGGTTGAAGGTAATTAGATAAACAGTTGTAATAATAGTGTCGGGTACCAATAATCTTTTGATCTCTTTCCATCACATGTGCTTTTAAACCTAGTCTTCTTGTCTAGAAGCACTAATCTGGTGATCTCATTTCATCAAGTCTACTTTAAAACTTTGTATTTAACTGTATTAATACTTTTCAAAGTTAAGTATGTTACTAGCATGTCGATCAAAGGAAATGATAAAACAAGAATTTTACATGATACCATGATGTGGCAACTGGACTCTTAGTTGGCATAAAAGATTGACGAAGGTATCAATAACTACTTTCTGTTTCAGAATAGCTTTTTGGTTTTCTTA